TCAAAACGATATTAGTTTTGTGGGCAGCTGTGTCAGCATAATGACAGTGATTGTTGTCTGTCTGCCAATATCAAGGTCCCCTAATGAAAGATGTTTGTGCGATCATCACCAGATGTCATTGATATTGGAGCCAATTGTTTGTTTGATTTAACAAAACCTGTTGTATAATTATTTACTTTAACAGAGAGCATTGACATAACGAACAAAGTGCTAAGGTCAAAATAAATAAATAAATGATTAGATTAATAAATGACTTTGTTTGAATTATTTTTCCCTTTCATGGTATTCTTTCCGGATTTATAAGCGGGTGAGTGCATGTTCAGTCAATTACATGTATGAAGAGTATGGTGTGTGTAGCCTATTGATGCATGGTTAAGCTATTCATCTCCTAACTGAGTGTGCAATCTTTCTTTTCATGTTCACCTAACATCCTCATCCTAACAGATTGTAAGTAGGCATATTTTAACTGTTATTTATAGGTAATAAAGATGGTTAATCAAACGAATAGTTCCCACTCAGAAAACGGAGACAAGCTAAAGTGTTTTTCTGTGGATCAGTACACGAGTGTACAAAGATGCAGCATTGAAGCAAACTCTTAACTGTTATAACGATCAAATTCCGATGTTTCAGGCCTCAGCCATCTTCTGGTGGGGCTTTAAAAGCAAAAGTTGAGAATTCAAAACTGACACCACTAAAATCCGAGTTTCTTTCTTTGAAAATTTTTACGTAGTCATCTATTTGAGCAATCGAAAACAGTGTCATTTTCCAGGGCTGAAATGATAAATTCCTGCAGGATGTTGGGAAAACACGAATGAGACGGGATCGGGAGCGGCAAGGCATCAATCTTTTCAACTTGGAGACTTTGGTTTGAAGCCTCCTTATAGATTAGGAAGTGACGATATCGACAAAAATAATTGTTTGTTTAGTATCCTTTACGGCAAGCTTCAGATTGATGCAACAGGGAAACGATTTCTCATATCGCTTTTTTCACTCAACTGATTGTTTTCAAAGGTTGCATGGCCTGGTCATCGTGGAGCGCTGGTTGCAAAGGGTGCGTCCAGACTAGGCAAAGAGTCGGTAAGTGACAAGACGAAACTTTTAAAAGCGCATTTGTAGGTTTTCACCATTGTTTACAGCTTCAAAAAACTGCATGACGTAAATAAGCTGTTATTTAAATAAGTGAATTCTTATGTATTGATGGCAAAATAGATGGCAATCAAAGTCATGGGCATTACACCATGAATAATGGATTGATAACCAAACTTTTATATATTTTTAAGCTATATTTAAGCAAAATTCAATGCTAATTTCTTAAGCGGATAATTTGGCGGGAATTTCGATACTTCTCAATAAATGGCTTCTCTGAATGAAAAAAAAAAAAAAAAAAAAAAGCTGACTAAGGCCTAACTATTATCACTTTTGAAAGATTATATGGATAACCTTACTTCTAGAATTCAACTGCTCAAGAACTCAGGAAACACGACCTTGTAAATGTAAGTGGTTTTATGTATGAGGAAAAAGTAAAGCACTCATGCTCTGGATGAAAATGTTGCAAAATATTACTCAGCTGTCCTATTATTACCTTCCACAATCTAAAGGATCATGGCGAGCACGGAATTGGAAACTTTTTTTTTTGTTGGACCTTTATTTCTTTCCGATTAGATCCGTCGAAATGAGAAAAGACTACGGTTGCAGTCTTTTCTTAACAAACATTTTAGTTGCCATTTTTTTCATTTTTACAGCAGCAGGAAGCTGAGGAAAAGAAGGAATTTCACCAAGGGGGTGGGCGACGGTTGAAAGGAAGGAGAAGGGAGGGAATGGGCCATTAGTTATACATTAATCATTACTTTCCTTTTCAAAAATAAAGGTCCTCCTGAAATTAATTCTCGGCGAGAGAAGTCTGTCAAATTTAATTCAACCCTTCAAATGGATTGTCTTGTGAAGGGTTTTCCTAAACCAGAGGTGAATTGGACAAGAGATGGAAAGCTACTTAATACCACGAACAAGCTCACCATTAAACAAGTGACTTATGGAGACGCTGGTCAATATACATGCAGTGCCAAGAACAGTGAAGGGAAAAGTGAAGCAGCTTTTTGGGTTACAGTTACAGGTAAATGTTAGTTTACTTTTTCTCTTCCAGTTACTCTTTTCATTTTCTGTTCTCTGTTTTTTTTTCTCTTATTTCACCTTTTTTGAATTGTGCTTCTTAATTCCATGGCCAGGTCCTCCTGAAATTAATTCTCGGCGAGAGAAGTCTGTCAAATTTAATTCAACCCTTCAAATGGATTGTTTTGTGAAGGGTTTTCCTAAACCAGAGGTGAATTGGACAAGAGATGGAAAGCTACTTAAAACCACGAACAAGCTCACCATTAAACAAGTAACTTATGGAGACGCTGGTCAATATACATGCAGCGCTAAGAACAGTGAAGGGAAACGTGAAGCAGCTTTTCGGGTTACAGTTACAGGTAAATGTTAGTTTACTTTTTCTCTTCCAGTTAATCTTTTCATTTTCTGTTCTCTGTTTTTTTTTTCTCTCTTATTTCACCTCTTTGAATTGTGCTTCTTAATTCCATGGCCAGGTCCTCCTGAAATTAATTCTCGGCGAGAGAAGTCTGTCAAATTTAATTCAACCCTTCAAATGGATTGTTTTGTGAAGGGTTTTCCTAAACCAGAGGTAAATTGGACAAGAGATGGAAAACTATTTGATACCACGAACAAGCTCACCATTAAACAAGTGACTTATGGAGACGCTGGTCAATATACATGCAGCGCTAAGAATAGTGAAGGGAAAAGTGAAGCAGCTTTTCGGGTTACAGTTACAGGTAAATGTTAAATTACTTTTTCTTTTCTAGTTACTCTTTTCATTTTCTGTTCTTTTTTTCCCCCCTTTTTTCACCTCTTTTGAATTGTGCTTCTTAATTCCATGCCCAAGTCCTCCTGAAATTAATCCTCAGCTCATCAATCAGTCGGTCACATACAATTCATCTCTTCAGTTTAATTGCTCTCTAAGAGGTTTTCCTACACCTGAGGTACACTGGACTAAGGATGGGATGCATCTTGGAAAAAAGAACACTCTCACGATTCGTCAAGCGAGGTTTGAAGACTCTGGCGAATGAGAAGAGACTACGCGCGGAGAAGAAAAAAAGTAACACAGACGCGACTGTCATTGCTATCCCGAGTGACACATGTAGGTGACCGCCAATACTCCGTGACCTGGACAGTAAATTAATCTCTCTTCTTAAGAGTATTAGAAGCAGAGGTGGAGTAGTTAATTTCTGTCTTGTGAAGGAAACAGCGCTGGCGCTTGTTGATAGTAATAAGACGCCATATTTAAGAGAATTTGAGCCTACAGTGACTTGAGTGAAGTCCATTTATAGGCGTTGCAATTTTACTTGCCGGGCTGAAAAACCACTCGTCCTCCAGTTCCCAGAGGGATGTTTGAAGAATGTAAACTTACATATCTCACTGACATTAACAAGATGATTACAGAGGACAAGATTCCTCCTGCATGAAGAGCATCGTCAGTTCCAATTAAAGGTTTGACTGATAAGATAAGAGAAGCATCACTTTCACCTTCGTCATCACTTTATCAGGAGAATTATTACCCATGCAAGTCATATACCAAGGGAAAACATCAGCCAGCCAACCAAGAGGTTTTAAATTCCCCAGAGGATTCGCGATTTCCCAGAATCCGAAACATTACTCTAAGGAAGATGAAACTCTAACATTGATGGATAAAGTAATCGTCCCCTTTGTCGAGAGGAAAAGAAAGGAGCTCAAATTGGTGCCAACTCAAAAACCTCTGCTGATCTGGGATGTGTTTAGGGGCCAAAAAACCGCAAAGGTTTTGAAGAAACTGGCATCACTAAATATTGCGATTGTGTCGGTGCCCACTAACATGACCCACTTCTTTCAGCCTCTGGATCTCACCGTCAATGGGTAGGCCAAGAGATTTATGAAGGACAAGTTTACGACACGGTAATCAGACGAAGTAAAGCAGCAGATAAAATTGGGAGGCGACAGCACTGATACTAATGTGGATCTGCGACTAACAGTCCTAAAATCACTTCATACCGTCTGGTTGGTGGACCTTTACAACCACCTGATTAGTCCTGTTGGTGTGCGACACATTGCAAAAGAGTGGGAGAAAGTCGGGATCTCCAGCCTCTTAGATGGATAGACGGATCTCCCTCCAGAAGACCCGTTCACTGACATTGAACTCGCCCTAGAAATTGATTAGAGGCCCAGGACCTCCTGCCGATGGTAGACATTGCTCTAGTCTAATTTACCGCTACGGTGTAAATATGTATTATACAATAACAAAGAACGTTATGAATAAGGATAATGTTTTTGACTATGCCTATGGTACACGATGCGGTTTCTATAATTTGGTTTTGTTATGAGTTGCTGATTTTTAGCAATAAGAAGTGTAAGATAATAATAAAATTCACGAAATAAATTTTTTTTTCATTTTCGCGAAAATTGATTCCCTAAAAAAATAATTTGCACCCAAATCGCGAAAATAAGGACCCGCGAAATATGCAGACCTTTTTTTCGCGAAATTAGGTGCCCGCGAAAACTAGTACCAATAAAGGTATGTTTTTAACATCACACTCAACAACCAAACAGAAAAGGATGAATGTTATTGAGACAACTGGGACAACTTAAGGGCAAACAATATCTTCATATGCTAAACGCGAAGAAAACCTTTGGAAAAAAATTGACCTTGGTCAAAAATAGACTTGAACATCGCATTTTTTGTTTTGAGTTTGTTGTTGTTGTTTCGTCGTTTTATCAAAGGTTGGGTAAATGAGGTTAAACTGGACTATACAAACCTTATTAACTTTGTTTGTTTGTTTGTTTTAAATCAAGCATCTCCCCAGATTATAGAGCCTCCGATAAACCAGTCTGTAACCGAGGGAAACTCTGTGAACTTTAGTTGCCGAGCCTCAGGTGTGCCAACACCAACATTGGTCTGGGTTTTTAATAATGCTGACCTGCCATCTGGTATCAATCAATTCAATCACGAGGGGGAATCATTTCTGGAATTTTTAAGCGTCACAAAAGGGATGGAAGGGACTTACAAGTGTGAAGCGAAAAATAAAGAAAATACAACTAGTTCTTCTGCATCCCTGCGTGTTTACGGTAAGTTTAATGATAATTACGATAACGATAACGATGACGATAATGATGACGCTGACCGTGACGATGACGTCGACAATAACTATGGCGATGACCATGACATGACGCTGACTCTGAACTGATGCTGACGATGAGGGTGACGAATGTGGGCCAGGATTTTAATCAATTGCCTTTTTCTTAACGTAGGAAAAGCCTCTGCTCAAGTTGTTCCAGGTCAGTATTCAGCACTCATATCAGGAGACAACTTCACATTGACCTGCATCATCAACGAAGAAACAATCAATGTAACTTGGAAGAAAAAAGGAAGCGCACCACCCGAAAGAGCAAAGATTGATACACGATTGGATGACAAAAAGAGTAAACTTGTTATAACTGAAGTTGTGAAGGAGGACAGTGGTGTGTATTCTTGTGAGGCACGTAACAAGCTCGGTTTTGTTGCCCGTTCCTTTGTAAAAATAAACGTCAAAGGTAAGCTGGTGTTATCGTTGTGTCTCAAAAAAACATACAACTTTACAGATTAAAAAATATATTTCCAAATCGATTAAAAATATTTTTTTAGTTAAAGACGAAACGAATATGGGTCACACGACCTAATTACACGAAACTACCTCTCATCGCTCTACGAACTTCAGATATTTCGCTTTAAGAGCAGGTGTCGATCACGGGTCAAATAATGTGCCAAGCTATACCAAAGCTACTCCAAACAACTTGAATTTTGTTATTACTTTTACTACCGTCGAGATTGTCTAATGGCCATATATTTATCTTACACAATAAACTAAGCAAGTGCCACGAGTTATGCAAAGTTTCAACACTTTGTGGTATTACATTGGGTGGCTTCTAATTTTGTAATTTGTGTTTATATGCTTAATTTGCAGTTCCACCCCGTGTTAGTAATGAGTTTAGAAATCTCACCATTGCATTTAACTCCACATTTACAAAAGAGTGTTACTTGAGAGGTGATCCAGAAGTATCTGTCAACTGGACCAAGGATGGAGTGCTACTTAGTAAAAACAACACCTTGATTATTAGACAAGCTACATTGAAAGATAGAGGCAATTATGAATGTACTGCTAAAAATGATTATGGCGAAGCAAACTCTTCCTTCTGGATCGATGTCACAGGTAAACTCTGTATTGTAGTTTACGTCATTTAGCAAATTGGAACTTAAAAAAGCGTTTGTTTTTGAAGTTTAAGCCAAATTTAAATGGACCTCTCTTTTACTCTCTTTTCATTCATTTCCTTTAAAAATATCAATGACCAAGGAACTAAGGAGTCATGATCTTATGATACATTTTCATTAGTGTTAAAGGTAGTACATCAACTTCGATAGGAGTGTATCATTACGTCAATATTAATGATTGAAGTTGGAAAGAGATTTCAAACGAACATTCGTATAACTCGTTTCAAATTACCAACATAGTACTCTTTTTTCTAGAAAAGGGTTCCTGGTCACGTGCAGTTGATTCTGACTTACACACACCCAGATTGCAAATGAAGCTAAATCCGTGACCAAATAAATAAATAAAATACCTCCCGCTATAGAGAAATTCCAAATGCTGTGGTCCACTCTAACATTTTTATCCGTGAACTCATGTTAAAATACGCAATTTGGATACATCAAATGACAGATTTCCTTTCTTTTTTTTATTTCAGAATGCAAATGTTTTACATTGTTTTGATCATCATCGCCTAATAGCTTTTGGAATTCAATATATACTGTTAAAAAAGGGAAACTGATAGTCATTGAACATTTGTGTTTTTAACATCACACTCAACAACCAACAAGAAAAGGATGAATGTTATTGGGACAACTGGGACAACTTAAGGCTAAACGATATCTTTTTATGCTGAACTCGAAGCAAACCTTTGGGAAAAATTGACCTTGGTCAAAAATAGGCTTGAATATCACGTGTTTTGTTTTGATTTTGTTGTTGTTGTTGTTGTTTCGTCGTTTTATAAAAGGTTGGATAAATAGGGTTAAAATGGACTATGCAAACCTTTTTAATTTTGTTTGTTTGTTTGTTTTGTAATTTAAGCATCTCCCCAGATCATAGAGCCTCCGATAAACCAGTCTGTTACCGAGGGAAACTCTGTGAACTTTAGTTGCCGAGCCTCAGGCGTGCCAACACCAACATTAGTCTGGGTTTTTAATAATGCTGACCTGCCATCTGGTATCAATCAATTCAATCACGAAGGGGAATCATTTCTTGAATTTTTAAGCGTCACAAAAGGGATGGAAGGGACTTACAATTGTGAAGCGAAAAATAAAGAAAATACAACTAGTTCCTCTGCAACACTGCGTGTTTACGGTAAGTTTAATGATAATGACGATAACAATGACGATGACGCTGACCGTGACGATGACGCTAAATATTAATGATTAAAGTTGCAAAGAAATTTCAAATGAAAATTCATATAACTTGTTTTAAATCACCAACATTAGTACTCTTTTTTTTATCTAGAAAAGGGTTCCTGGTCACGTGCAGTTGATTCTGACTTACAAAAATCCAGATTGTAGATGAAGCTAAATCCGTGACCAAAGAAATAATTAAAAACACCTCCCGCTATTGAGAAATTGCAAATCCTGTGTTACACCTTATCATTTTTATCCGTGAACTCATGTAAAACGTGGATATTTCTGGAGCAAGCAATCTCATCATAGAAGGAGACAGTGTGAACTTGACGTGTACTTTTTCTCTTCCAGTTACTCTTCTCATTTTCTGTTCTTTTTAACGCCGACGATAACCATGGCGATGACGATGACGTGACGCTGACACTGAACTGATGCTGACGATGAGGGTGACGAATGTGGACCAGGATTTTAATCAATTGCTTTTTTCTTGACGTAGGAAAAGCCTCTGCTCAAGTTGTTCCAGATCAGTATCCAGCACTCACAGCAGGAGACAACCTCACATTGACCTGCATCGTCAACGAAGACACAATAAATGTAACTTGGAAAAAAGATGGAGATTCACCACCCGAAAGAGCAAAGATTGATACACGATTGGATGACAAAAAAAGTAAACTTGCTATAACTGAAGTTGTGAAGGAGGACAGTGGTGTGTATTCTTGTGAGGCACGTAACAAGCTCGGTTTTGTTGCCCGTTCCTTTGTAAAAATAAACGTCAAAGGTAAGCTGGTGTTATCGTTGTGTCTCAAAAAAACATACAACTTTACCGATTAAAAATATATTCCCAAAGGGACTAAAACTATTTTTCAGTTAAAGACGAAACGACGAAGAAGAGCAGGTGTCAATCACGTTTTAAATTATGTGCCAAGCTATTCCAAAGCTACTCCAAACAACTTGAATTTTATTAGTACTTTTACTACCGTCGAGATTTGTCTAATGGCCATATATTTATCTTACACAATTAGCTAAGCAAAGTTTGTGGTATTACATTGGTGGATCAGTGGCGGCAGTGATTGTCATTTCGCTAATTGCCTGGTATTTCTGCAAGCGTCGAAGGACAGGTGACGTCCATTTTTCTGTGTTATTTCAGATTTCTTTGTCGGAAATGTTTGAACTTATTTAACATGTCTACGGGGGGGGGGGGGGGGGGGAACGCTGAGCTTAGAGTCTAAGAGTAGAAATATTTTTATAAGAATTACTTGCGTGCGGCCAAAAATGCCAATTGTAGAGTTTTTTCACATCTGTATATGGTATCATCATTATTATTTCCATTATTGTTAACGGTGTTTTATAATAATTATAAATTCAGCAAATATCACGTCCTTCCTAATTTGTGCAAATTCACACTATGCTGCCATTACACAGAAATGTTATTGGAACATTCGATTTAATAAATTAATGCAAATTTTTGCCTTCTTTGTCCCCTTTAATTCATCATTTTGGAATTGCAGCTATGGCTCTGTAAGTCAACTATTTTATCTTTTATTCATCAAATTAATCGAGAAAAGGAAAAAAACTACACCATTGCACGATAAATTCTATCGCAGTGACTTTACTTTTATCTTGTTTACGATGCATTATGAACATTCATCAAGTGTTGTTAGAATCAGCTTCATAAGTTCCTTTGTTTAATTTTTTTAATCTCATTAGTATCTTCCATCTATTTTCGGTTTGATTAATTCATGGATTTCATAATTTGAAAAAAAATTGAAATGCGCGTAAAATTTTCTGGTTTTAAAACCAACTGTTTCTTGTTTAATTTTAACAAACGACGAAGCTATTGTTGGACTTCATCCGCTTGACAAAGTGTACTTAAATAACAATAATTACTGATATGTTTTGTAATAATTTATGCTCCTGGTTTAGTTAAAAACATTATTTTCTCACTATCGGCAAGAGAGATTATCTCGCCAATCAAGTTATCCTGGCAAATCAATTTTTCCTTCTGATTTCTCTTTTCTTTTTATCACTTTTCTTTGTTTTGAACCTGAAAGTATACAATGTTAATTTCCAATATTTAGTCCTGACCAAGAGCAGGCAATTCAGATGGAGCCATTGAATGCAGAGGTAGATGAGTGGGAGGTTGCGGTCAACCGTGTCCTGCTTCAGGACGTCATTGGACGAGGGGCGTTCGGAGCCGTGTGGAGAGCTCTCCTGAGTTCACCAAATGGACAACCTGGAAATCGAACAGTAGCCGCTAAATGTTTCACGCGTAAGCCTTCTTCGATTTGTTCAATTGATACATATGTTAATCTCAGGGGTGGTTATAAAAATGTTTTATTTGGGGAGGGGGGGGAGGTGGTCCAAAATTTCTTCTCGACCAACGCACACCCTCCTCTTCTTCACTCAAGGTTACGCGAGGGAAAAAAAAGACGGCGGGGGGAGGAGCAAACAAACAAAGAAGATAATCAACCAGTTTGGTCGTAAAAGTGATCCTGCAATAATTCTTGTTTCCAACAAGTAGTGTAAAAGGTCACAGGCATAGGTTAGAAGGGGTTTAGTGTGGGTTAGTATCCGCCACACCCCACTCCCCCCGGGAGGGTGAGGTGTTGCGGATACGCTGGATCCTCCCTCTAGATCCGCAGCTGAATCCAGTAGGGTTTATTTCTCCCTTTGGACCTATTCCCCACTTACTAGTGACTGATTATCCTGGGTTGAAGTTGGCAGTCTAACAGACTGACTACACGGTGCTTTTCGCTGGCAAATGATATTTACCGAACGAAAGATGTGAAGCATCTGCAGTGATGGTAAAACTAAAGAAAGCAAGAACTATTGGTAGGATTCAAACTTCCAGTTCGGTCTTTATACTCACAGTCAACTCAGCCATGGCTGAAGTCAGTGAGTTGGGCAATCTGCTAGCTGCGAAAATTATCATCCAAACGGTAATAAGAAGATGCAAGGTTTGTAACTCTACCGGATTCTTTCTGGCTTGAACTTGCATGCAATAAATATATTAATCAGAATGTGTCTCTGTCAATGTATACTTTTGTTGTAGCCACTGCTGGAGAGGAAGGAAGGAAATGTTTGATGAGAGAAATTGAGCTGGGGAAACTTATCGGTGAAAACGTTTCGCCAAACATTGTAAAGTTCATGGGCTGCGTTACGACAGAAAGTAAGTACTAAGCGTACAGCATCTTTTCTGAGTATATGTTATTAACGATACTATAAATGCTGAATGAACCCTCTTGAGAGCTCTTAACATGAGATCCGTAACTAGGATGTTAATGGAGCCAAGTTCGTCTTTTTTTTTTGTGGCAAACAGACTGTTTCTCTTCGAGAGTATGTATCCATCGACAGTTCATTAAGATTTCGGTTGGATAGCTTGAAATCTCGTTAACGGGGCTAACCGGCTTTCTCCCTTTAACCTGTAGCAAATTTTTGAAAGTAAATTCTGATGAAGGTAGATCCTAAAAGAATGAGTCCTTCGTGTAAGCTAAACTGCTTTATGAAGAAAGCCATCAGTAATTTTATCTTTGATACGTCACTTAAGTTCACCCCATACTCATCATGGAGTACTTGCCATGTGGTGACCTACTTGGTTACCTCAGAAAATGCCGAGGAGTGAGGGATCGGTTTTATCTTGGTGAGGGAAGAGCTCAGGATTTGAACAACTACGATCTCGTGTTGTTTGCCAAACAAATCGCCGCCGGCATGGTGTTCCTTGGAACGCGAGGTGTAAGTAGAATACTTGTCACATGTCAATTCTAACTCAGAAAAATCTTTCAGAGATTTAAACTTTTTATTTTTCAATAGCTCGGATTTTGGCCAACATTTATGAGTGCTTTTGAATTAGATAAACCTCTTTGTTGACATTAGTAGGTCAGCGCAGATGTCAAAAAAAAAAAAAGAGCCAAAAGAAACGAAAATAAGGTTCATAATAATTCGGTTCCCGCGCCTCAAAAAATCCCAGCTATGATTATCTGGGATGGTGTAAAATTAAGCGTAAAAAAACAGACCCATGCAGTTGTCAAAGGTCGCGTATGCACTGATAGCGTATATATATATATGTGTGTGTGTGTGTAAAATTTTGACTTTCGTAAAACAGTGCTCAATACATAGGAGTAGAGCGATGTATATATATATATATGTAAAACCTTATTGCGACACCTAAAAAAAAACAAAACAAAGGTAAAAATGGAACTCCTTAGAAATCTGTAAAGAAACAAAGGTAAAGATTAAATAATTTTGTCTTTTTCTTTTTTGGAACACAAAGGGTCCTCTGTTGGTTTACTACTTCTAAATTTCATTTTATTATCATAATTATTATGATTATTAGCATGGTTATGACTATAATCTTTATCATTATTATCATTATCGTTATTTTCGCTGTTGTAAAAGAATCCAATTTTTTTGATAAAGAAAGTAGAAATCTTGGTTTTGTCAGCATTACAACATTATATAGGGCTACCTTAGTTTGAGCCTTTTTTTCGTTCAAACATACTCAGATGTTTGATTCGCCGCTGTACTATAAAAACCTATCGTTTCTTAACCTTTATATTCTGGCTTCTTATCTTCTGGTAGATTATCCATCGTGACCTGGCGGCTCGAAACATTCTCCTCGATAACAACTATGTTTGCAAAGTGACGGACTTTGGTATGGCATATCAAAGCTTCAAGTATGGCCATGGAAATGCCAAAAAGGTAGAAAACACTTTTTTTGTTGCTTCAGTGCGGTTATTTTTGGAAACGAGTTGTAAGCGTTAGCATATTCTCTATATAAAGTTAATGTACATGGACTATCAACAGGGTTTCATAGCTCACTTTGACTTACAAGAAAAAAGCAAAACAAAACAGAGTTAGTTATTTAACAGGATAGGTACTCCGGGCATCGGGATTTGTCAATTTCACTAATTTTTTTCGTAGAAAGTCTCGCGAAAGAAGGTACATTTTCTGTTTTCCGTGACCGCTTTACGAAGGCTAACCTTGGATTGACCGATAAGGGAACGACAAATGTAGCTTTCTTTTCACATTTTAACATATTTACGTTATGTAGCTTCATATTTTTTAAAGATGGCTTTGAAAAAAAAGGGACATAAGTTTTGTACGGAAATCATTTATCGGTTGATTTTCCAGGGACGTTTGCCAATCAAATGGACTGCACCAGAGATTCTGCTAGGAGAGCTTGCTGGACTTTCCACCTTGAGTGACGTGTATGTATAGTTATGTATATCAACCCGCCAACCTAACGAACCTATCACCTTTGGATTTTTCTTTATCATTTCACGTCCGAAGTTCTCTCAGCGATTAATTGTAGAATATTTCTGATATGCTCCCGTCAGGTGGTCCTATGGAATCGTTCTGTATGAGATAGTTACGCTTGGTAAGCTAAGTTATGTTCTTGGTAAGCTAAGTTATTTTCAATCAATACCTTTAACGCTTAGAACAGCAATGTGCATGCGCTATAGAAGTGATGCTATTTTAATTACTGTTATTTTAATAAAGATTTGTTTTCACATACTTCTTGGCCATACATACATATATATATATATATATATATATATATATATATATATATAAATGTCGGAGTAGAGTCTACCTTGGCATAAAGTGCTCAATTCTGTGGTAGCAGAGCTGAGTATATATAAGTGAAAGAATCAAAGAGGACGCATCGATTCTCTGTTACTCAGAGTTTCGCGCCTAAGCGCTCGTCAAACAGAACTTAGACAGACAGAACTGACGAGCGCCTAGGCGCGAAACTCTGAGTAACAGAGAACCGATGCATATATATATATATATATATATACATACATATATGTGTATATATATATATATATATATTTATATATATATATATATATATATATATATATATATATATATTTTATATATATATATATATATATATATATATATATATATATAAGAGCATCATCAAGCTATGTAAATGTACATGCAGATGGCTTCCCTCATACAAAGAGGTCGAGAAGGAACAATGTTTCTCAGCCACGGTCATTGTAGAGTTGATACATTCAGAAATGTGACATACACTCGTCCCTATGCATTGACAGGAGGAATTCCGTACGACAGATGGTCAGAAGCCATGGTGATTGCAGAGGTCACAAAGGGATATCAGATGCCAAAGCCCGATCATGTTGACAACAAACTGTGAGTCGCACTTTTCTAGTATGATACCATCGTGTTCCTAAAAATAACCTTAGATCGAAGACAACACATTTAGCACTCTTATTGCTGAAATCTTTGCAATAAAACAATTGGGTCACAATCAGAAGCTTTCTGTTACGTGAATGTCAACCAGGAGCATACCGCATTCAGCTGAGATACGGCGTAGACAATTATGACATCAAAATGTATTTAAAAAACATCAGAGCGAGTGAAGTAGTGCAGATATGTTCGACGTCCCAAAAAAAAATCTGAACTATTGCCTATACTATTTTCAATAACAGTTTCCTGTAGGAGGACCTTATTGGTATTCTTCGCATAGTCCATTAGTAAGTAGTTAAGAGTAGATCATCGTTTTTAAATTTCAGGTATGATATAATGAAAAGGTGCTGGAATCGAAACCCTGACTTCCGTCCTCCTTTTGAAAACCTGCGACAAAGAATGGACAAATACATTCGTGAAGAGGTTTGTCTCTAGAATTGACAAATTCCCAATATTTTATGCATTTTAAAGACTATACAACTTTTCAAACTTCTTACCTTGCCCCCATATGTTGGAAGCAATATTTGCTAGCATTGGTTTTATTTCCATTCGCTCTATGAAAGCTTCAGCTGAGACCTTTCATACTCCTGGCGAGAGACATTTTGCAGCCCGTAAGGCCATTTACGAGTAATTCAACTTGTTGGCTGCTTCTGATATCTACGTCGGTTGTGATCGTCCCCAGGGCATAAATCGGCTCAGTTCTATTCACCTACTTGCAACTTCACTATTTTCAGAGAGGAAATAAGAAACTCGCTTAGTATATCCGCGACTTTAAACCACAGAGATTCTCAGTACGCCGGGGAAGTGATCGCACTTTTCAGCTTGACTTTACTGTATTTTAACGCTGTGCGGCTAATGTGTAACTCTCATTTGTTACTTCCTTTTCAGACATATTTGGAACTTCTTGACATGGGCGCTTATGACAAGGCAAAATACTCCAGGGTTGAAGATCTCGGAGATGAAGATGCAGAACCAAGTGAGGAAGTTGCAAAGAAGGTTGAAGATCTCGGAGATGAAGATGCAGAACCAAGTGAGGAAGTTGCAAAGAAGGCCTCAGCTAAGGGATTGGGAAGAAGTGCCAGTGACCGTCGTTAGGGTACATAATCGTCACTTCTCGGTGCTAAACTAAGTGTAGGTTTGTGTTAGTTAAATTTCTCTCAATATTAATATTAGAAGAATATGTGAAAGCTTTGTCCTTGATTAACAAAATGATAATAATAAAAGCACAAAACCCAATTAATTAATTCTTAAAGGATGCCAATAATAAATAATTTAATCGGTTTCAGAATAACAAAATTTGGATAGATATGAATTAAACTTCCGTAATCGATTAAATCAGAAGAGAAACAAAGAAAGAAACAAAAAACAACGTACTTGAAAAACGGCTCGTTTATGCCGATAGCTGTACTTGGCGAGCTTTTCATTGTTGTATTGTGAAACCATTTAGTAAATTTGTTTGTAGCAGACGTAGTAAGAGATCTCCTAACGGCGATTTGAAATTTGGTAAAATTTTGTAGTTTGGTAATGAATTAGTCGTGAGGTATTAACTAGCACTTATCACTTAACGAAGTATCTTCTTTAAATTACATATTGCATCACTTCTAGTGATTTGTTTAACTTTCAAGTTACCTTTATTTGAAAACAAGCGAGAGCATTGTTATTGACATTTACCGTTTTGCTGCTAGTATCAAATGCTTTTGTCATAAACGGAGAGAACAGTCTTAATAGAGTGTGAGTTAATTCAAATTAATATTTTCTTAAGTGTTTTCGATTCGTATGAGAAAAAAAAACGCCATGTAAAGGGTTCATACTGTGGTAGACGGAAACAATTTTACTGTGGTAAATGGAATGCTTGTTTAAAAACTGGACGAAATGAGAGCACGTATGAGCGTTTAATTTTGTACACTATCCAAACACAATAAGTTGTATTTAACATAATGTAAAACACTCTATTTAATATCTGCAATAAAAAGATTAGAGGCTTATCTTATGACTATTTATTGATTATCAAGTCAGTTTAGATTGAAACCATTCCGTATCCTCATTAAGCTTTTGGATGACGTCATCAGACTTAGGCGATGGCTGCATCTATGAAATAGCATCTTCATGTATATCACTAAATGAGATATCCACATTCTCAACTTTTCACACTTACGGACGAAGCTATAGCTGGTCGCGTCTTTGACGCATGCTTTATCGGTCTGTTTAGAACTGCGTGTTTGTCTAGGGGAACCTTCGAGTTTGTCATCATGATAACAAAGGAGTCAGTTAGGATTTGTCGATGTTTCGCAGTTCTAAAACACACCGGCGCTCGAGGAAACAACAATAGTTTTTAACTGATTCGATAATTTCAAGATGCAACAGAAGGATAAGTTGTAAATGCCTCTGTTATCAATGTTCTGATCCACTGTATTGCTGAAGTGTTTCAATCCAGATTGACTGACCATGGCATATATCTCCCCGATTTATCTTTCCACTGATATAATACTATGCCGGCTAAAGACAATCGCAACTTTTTATTACTTCTAATATATAGATTTATCCAAGCCTAAAAGCGGAGTTCTTGTTAGTTTATTTTCTAGCCCCTCATTATGATAAAAAAAAGTAATAAAACTCTTCAGCACTGGCTGTAGAAGAGTTTCTTCAAGGGGATTAAGAGAACAGTCCGGGGGTGGGGAGGGAAGGGAAGAATTGGCGAGGTCTGGAACCTGGGGACGACGTTCTCACAACTTGCGATAAAACGCATGCTAGTCAGCGGTATCTTCAAGCAGCTGAGAACCTTCGTTGTTGTTCCTGATGTTTTGAGCAAATTTTCGAAGATAGAGAATCTTTTCTTCTTCAGAGGAAGTGTGCGATGTCAGCATCAGTTGAAATTATACTCTTTTGAGCGTGACTGATAATTTTTAACTACTTCGAGTTTAGACATCAGCAGTCGATTGAAGAGTGTACACGTGATAACAGTGAATTAGTAAATCAAGACGCCAGAATCGTATGGGCTTCTCTTATATCTTCTCTTGAAGTTTCCAGGTATGACTGCTTGCCCCACCATTTTTTCCCTAACGTTTCAACCTCCTCTGTTTCGCGTAAAAATGAAAAAGAAAAGTCATTTTCAACTCGTGTTTGAACCTTTAATTTCTTAAAAATTTTCCTCTTTTGGCTATTATTCTTTCATGATTGTCCTCTGGCTGGAAATACACGGCGTCTTTTTGAGATTCTTTTTGTTATTTAAAGCCCCCACGGACAAACGTCTTTGTAATTAAGTGATCATGCTTTAGCCATGTTAGCAGCCGAAGGGACGAGATGTAAACGTGGAATGCGAACTCTTGCATCTACGGGATTATAATTGAATCAATATATCTTTGAAGGTGGAAAACCACTTTCCCATTTTTTCTTTAGTCAATCTTGTAAATGTTTCTTTTCAAGCTAGAGTTGCAAACTCGATTCCCGGGTTGATACACGCGCATGCGATAAACACCAAACCAAATAGGATCTTTTCTTTCTTTATTCCTTTTCCTATTCCTTGGGGCGTTATTATATCGAAGCGGTCAACTGAAATTATTACGTAAAGAAATCACCTAAGTATTGTGATCATAGCTTAAGAATAATCTCGATTTTGGAAACCAGCACGTGGCAGTTAAAGGAACCAAAAGAAAGGTAAAAACGAGCGATAAATTTTGCTTTGAGTAACGACTACGAGCTAGATAACATAATCACAAAATAAGTTATTGCTTACCAACGTTCGCGGGTCTTGATTACTTTATCGAGGATTACGGTCTAACTTGTCTTCTATTCAAAAACGATCTTGATCACACGGGGTCTTATCTTGAACTGAAACGCTAACTATAATTTTCTGTCTAAAAAGAACTAATCATGGGGGCGTCAACCTAACCAGAAAATATTTCGCAGCTTTTCTCGGAAGCGGTAACACTTAGCTTCAACGGAAGCAATTACAAATCTTAGTTTTCCCTTTTAGGAACGAATTTCACTACGTCAAACTGGGTTTTCAATAGCACAAGGGAGGATAAAGCATTTTGTTTTACTTGTCAATTTGATTATTTTTTAATAATTTTTATTGCCCAGGTGTTTTTCATCATCTTTTTCTCTCGTTATGCGATAAATCCACCGCAACCATCTTTCAAAATAGCTTAGATGACGAAAAAAAGGTTAACACAAAATTTGCGCTTCCATCATTCGATAATTTGGGTGGCAAATGCCTACCCTAGGAGTAAGGTTTCTTAGCTAAGTTTTTATTTTTCATTTTCATTTCTTTAACTAAGCTCGGATCTCAGATTTTCCCCTCATTATCGAAATAACCGATTGACACAATTTTAGTTCTGAAAAGAAGTGCAGCACATTTTTGACCAATAAAAAACAACAAAAACAAAACAAGACAAAAAAACAACAACCAAAAAAAAAAAAAAAAAAAATGAAAGAGGCTGTTAAGCAAGCTGGCTGAACTGCGCCGTTTTGTGGTAAACATCTAGATTTTTGTAATTTTGACAATGATAATCTGAAATTCACTTTTTTTCCTTGCAGACCCAATATTCAAAGAACGCAACGTTGAGTAAAATAAAGACTCAGCTTTTTTAGAGCTGAGCTTATCCCGTCAACCAAGTATTCAGATATTTTATGCTGACTTCTTCAAACAATAGAGACTAGGAAGCTACAGATCCAAAAATGTTGACGTCCTCACAGGCTGATAACGGTAGGAAAACCACCTTCACAAATAGCGCCTGGAAGTGTCCAAAAAATAGCTAACGCTACCATTGTTGCTGCTGCAATACTTGTGAAAAACGCAAAGCACAAACAGCTTTGACATTTTCCACCGATCAAGGGCATATCCCTTTATGACAGAAGTGATGCACTCTTCAATGATGGAAAAAGCTTGGGTTTAATGGATGTTTTTCCGATAATTATTATTGCATATCGTCACTATCTGTGTCGCCTTTCGGTGTACGCGCGCGTTGCAGACCTATTTCCTTTATTTTTGCTTTAACCATGGTACTTCATTCTCTTTCAGGCTCCACGACGCAGCCTCCATTCTCGTATCCATCAAGAATTAAACTCACCTCCGCCATCTTATATACTGCAATCATTTCAATGGCCTTAGTTGGAAACATTTTGGTGATCTATATTCTGTACAAGAGGCCAGAAACAAGAATATTAAGAAGCTTCATGTGCGTCAACCTCGCTGTGGCCGACTTGCTCGTAACAGCTGTTGTCATGCCTCAGTCGATGGAACAAATCATTTTTGACAATCTGTGGATCGATGTTGTTTTCTTCGTGGCAAGCTCACATGTCCGTTTTCTTCTCTCACAGCCGTGGCTTTTGACTTCTACTTCGGGATTGTCCTTCCCATGCAAAAGTTCCCTCGCTTTAGGAACAAAAAGATCTTGGTTCCCACAATTTGGATCACCTCAATGTGTCTGATGACTCCATGGCTGATCACAATCAAAGTTAAGAACTCCAGGATAGAATTTAAGTTTACTCAGTTTGGCGAGACTCAAGCAGCTTTGAGAGGTATTTTCTTTACATCGTAGTCATCATCTACTTAGTGCCCCTAGTTACCATGTGCATTCTCGATGGACACGTCTGTCACACACTGCACAGGCACAAACTGCCGGGCATTGCCATCAACAATCGCGCAACAACTCGGGCCCACGCTAGCAAGCGTCAAGTGATTCATATGTCGATAGCTGTCGTTGTTGCCTTTGCACTTTGCTGGCTTCCAGCGCATGCGTATCATATGATTTTGGCCATTGACTTCAGTGTGCGTGAATCGCTGTCATATTATTTTATGCTGTTATGCTATTGGTGTGGACATGCAAACAGCGTTGTTAACCCGTGGCTCCTGATATACCTTAAGAAGAAATTCCGTGCCGCATTTAAGAGAATGATAACTTATCCATTATCGAGAATCTCATTTGCTAGCAAGAATAATGAGAGCGTAAGAAGTGTAACTAAACTGCCTATCAGAGACCCGATTGTCCAAGTAAGAGAACATTACCAGTTTGCAAGTTCTGTGTGAGGATTATTGTTAACTCTTCATAGGTTTTATTATATTCAAGTTGTAAAATTTGCAAGCTCATTATAAGTCCAGCTACCAGCAGTTGAAGTGTTTCCTTCACACCAAATTAATTGAATTCAGATCGATGGATTAGGACTCTGCAGAACGTGATCCACTAAATCAAGGGTTGACTTAACCTGTTTTGTCTCCATGCAGCATTTGGCTCGCATGATGATATAATTCAAAAACATAATCATTATCATAGAATATATATGTAGATTTTTGCCGCCTTGATATGCAAGTGTTAAGGTGAAGAACTTTGTAGAGATCTAGTTGCATCTCATTTTCGCACTTTTCTTTTCATTTCTGATGCCGTTTGTCAACCAAGACCTGACCCACACTCTAGAGAACGGGGGAAGTAGAGCCTTCAAAAGAAACAAATGCAAATTGCGTTCGAAGAAAAAGAGCTCTTAAAGATGGAAGACAATGCTGCACAGCGTCACAACTCATAGAGGCGTTTAGTGTAGACCGAACTACAAGTTAAAACTGGTGCTTTGTGGATTAGTTTGTCCCATTGGAATAAGGATCACAAATCAAGCCACCTAACCAAACCAGTCTTGGCTTACAGCTTGGGGTGTTAATCGGTCATCAGGGCCGAGAGAGACAAGGTAGAATCGGGTCATCAGATTTCACATAAAATTTGGCACTCTGGTCATAACAGACATATGGTGTTGCTCAAAAGGACACAAAAACAAGTTAAAATAGGTTACAGTGTTTATATTTAAAAAACAACACACATACACTCTGAAATAATTCTTGCAGTTTCTCCCGAGATTTAGTATACGGAACCCGATGAACTAACCCTCCTTTCCGCAGATTTGTTTCCATAACTAATGATGTTACGCTCTTATGGACCACAATGGTTTTGAGCGACAAACTCGGCATTTCCCTGCGAC